GCTCCCAGATCGCGATCCAGGAAGTGCGGATCGCGATCTGGGTCTGAGTCTAGTCTGCCACTGTGAATTTGTCACCAGATCGCGATCCGACTTTCCTGGATCGCGATCTGGGTCTGAACTTTGCACACTACTGGAATTTGCCCCCAGATCGCGATCCGGCTTTCCTGGATCGCGATCTGGGTCTTAATGACCACTTTCTCGGCTTGAAAAATCGGTTTCGCTTCCAAATGGCTTCGACTTGGCAACAAAAGCTAACAAAACCTAAAAAAGGAAATAAAACAAGAAACGCAATAATATACACAAATAAAGCCGAAACTCGGACGAACGAAGACCAAAACTCGAAGATTTGATAAGCAAAAATCGTGCAAAACGAACACTTATCAAAATGAAAACCGAGGCAGCAACTGAAAGATGAGACAGCTTGCCTGTGTAAGAAGATTGAGCTCGTCGAAGATTATAAGAGGTTTAATTATATATTCGACCCTTTTTTCTTTCGAACAAATTCCGTACATGTATTCTTAACACGTAAAAAATGTTATTGCATGCGAATAAGATGTTTTGTTCTGAAAGTTTAAGGTTTTGTTGAATTTCATGCATGCATGTATGTATATATATATCAGAAAGCTACTGGGAGAAAGCTTAGGTTCTTGTTCCATGGATGAGTTAGAAGAAGTCCAGATACAGTTGGAACTAAGTCTTGAAAAAATCAGGGGCAAAAAGGTAATATATATTATTTTTCTCCTGGAAACAAATTGAACATAAATATATCAAGTATTAATTTTTTTAATTATTTGTTTAATTTCCTTCCTTCAGAATATATTATTTAAAGAGCAAATTGATCGGTTGAAAGAACAGGTAAGCCGTACGTAGTATCAAAGTTCTGGAATTTTTATATATAAAAGTAAGAAATACTAGGATAATTTAAGAAAACCTAATGATTTTTTTCGTAAATTTTTAAAATTAATTAACTTTATTATTTATTGTTTTCATCTCCTATTTTCTAGTATTTTTTTTTTCATAGCAAATCAGATTTGCAAATGGACTAGCAAAACTTAACTTTTTCTTATGCTATTTTGGTCATTTAAATTTCACAACTAATTATTGTAATATTGTGTTATATATATTTTTAATAAAATTTAATCATCATATATTTAAAAAAAATTTAATGCTAGTTTCTTCCATTTTTTTATTTCCTTGTTAATTAATGTGAATATAATGTTGTTATTTTTTAATGCAGGAGAAGTACCTAAGGAAGGAGAACACAGAATTGAGAAAACAGGTTATACATCAAAACTACATCTTATTAATTTGCCATTTAAATAATTTTAATCTGTCCTCATTTAATTACTATAATTATTTTCTTTATAATTCTGGTTACTATATTATAGTGTGAAATGCTGCCGCTTCAACTGTCGATTATTCCAACGGCGCAAACACCGGCTCAAGCTGAGGAGGTGGAAACCGCTTTGTTCATATGATTTTCCGAAAGTCGAATAAAGAAAGATGAACGTAACTAATTTAATCTGCAATATATATAAATGCTCGTATTCTTCAGCTTGTTACATGTATATTTCGATCGATTTCGAGTTCAGATGAGTGTGTGTTTGTTTGCAACCTTGAAAAAGAAATTTGCGATTATTCATCTATTTGTATTAGACATGATGCAAGTATAGAAGGAAAGAGATGTATCTACGTGTATCTTGTTGAATAATTAATAGGGTAAATTACGACACCCCTGAAATAAGGTAAAATTACGAAAAAAAACTCCTCTTGTTTGGGTGATTACAACCACTCCTCAACTATAAATTATTTTACACGTCCACTATTGCGGTGTCAAATTTAGTGGAATCTTCTAGATTTGTGGAATATTCTCCATTTTGTACCCGCTTTGCCACATTCGAGCTCCACGTTTTGAAAGAAGATGATCATTAGCTGTGCTTCTTTGCTTGTAAATATCAGATTGTGGTGCATTAGAAACTGCATTTTTGCACAAAACGAGTACAAACTAGAGAACATTCCACATAATGTAGAAGATTCTGTTGAATTTGACACCTTACAGATGGACGTGTAAGAAGATTCATAGTTGAGGGATGGTTGACTTGTAATTACCAAATCAATAGGATTTTTTTAGTAATTTGACCTTACCTCAGGGCCGGGGTAACCGTGATTTACCCAATATTTAGCAATGATTTAATCATTTTTCTTTTAAAAAAACTTCTGAAACAAGAAACAATTTTTTCTATTTGTATTAATAACCCACGAAATTCTCCAATTTTACATCGGATCCAGTTTTAAGAAGGTTGGTTTAGTAGTTTGAAGATTGAGAATTAGGCGGCTCCTTCGACCCTACACCTAGTGACAAACATTGTGTGGGTTTTTTGCTGCCACGTGTCATTTTTCGTATTTTTTTAAAACCCATTAACCTAAGTTGGAGAATATATTATAAAATACGAAAACAATTAACGTAACAACATAAGATCGATCGATATTTATCACCGAGTATAGGATCAAGAAGTCGAATTAGGCGAACATTGACCTAAATACAAGTTGGAGTTAATTAGGGGCAAGTATTTATCAAACAAATAACTGAAAAGGACACAACTTAATTATTCCTGCTAGCTAATAATAAGTGCAAATGAGAAATAAATTTAGAACTAATTGCAGTTTGGCAACTATAGGCAGGGCCAGTTATGAGAAGAGGAGGCCAAGTACGCGATCGTCTAGGGCCCACGAATGTTTACGAAAATTTGGGGTCCCTAAAATTATTATTTAAACTTTATATTTTAGTATTTATTTTCTTATTAAATTTATGATATATTATACTTTGGAACCTTAATTTATGATATATTATACTTTGTATGTTGTGTACTTGTGTTGTACAATTGCGCCATTGGCTTTTTCAATTTTTCTTTATTTATATACTTAGGACTTCTTATATTGAAAATTATTGAAACTAAAGTCAAATTTGTTAAATACACTATTGTTCTATTTCTTTTACAGTCTGAATTTTATTAGGAGAAAAAAAAACTAATTTTCTCTTTTCTATTATACGTGTTATATATATATTTTTTTAATTTCTTAATTAAACGTGTTTAAAAATATTAAACCAGTTATTTGTTAGAAAATGAATCAAGTTTCTTTTTATAAACATTTATGAAGTCTATTTACTAAAAATATTAAACGTTATGGACGAAGTTGAACCCTGTAATCTTCTAGTACAATATTGTTCTAAAATGTTATTTATAATTTCTAAAATATATTCAGTTTCATCTTTGAATAAATTCCATAAAAGACCCTAACTATAGAGAATTGGAAAAATAATGCTATACGCAATAACACAGCAAATTTCAATTTAACCAGCTCATAATTTAGTCCTACTTGCACATGGATATGATCATACTTATTTAGTAATATTTTTTGGACTAGTTCTACTTAACTAGTCTTCATTAATGCATATCATTATCCACTTAAAAAATATTATTGGAAAATGAAAAGGCTAAGAGCCTAATCTTGTTTTTAGCCCATAAAAAAAATATAAATGGCAAAAGGACATGACAAGGGATTCAAATGCACATTGGTTCAAAAAAAAAAAAAACAGTCTATTAAATAAACTCATTCCCATGTCTTTAGTCTAAAATATCCTCCATAATATATTTTTTATCAATTCCATCCATTATACTCTAAATTTCTTACTATTACACATTAACCACGGATTTAAACAAATATATCACATTAACCCCTATTTTAATATTTTTTTGCAAACACGGCCAGATTCCGCCGTTGACTGGACGGTTCTCTGGCGTTGAATTTTTTTTTTTCCGACCGGTCAACCGCCGTTGATCGCCAGTCTCCCGCGTTGACCTATTTTTATTTTTTTTTAAATTTTGTTTTTTCTTAGAAAAAATATTTTAATTAATATTACTGTCTTGACTGCTAAATTAATGTCTGAGACTATAATATTACTGTTTGGGACAATATTATTATGAATATTATTTTTCCGAACAGTAATATTACTAATATTATTGTCCCAAACAATAATATTATTGCGGTCGGAGACATTAATATTACAGTTGAGGACAGCAAAAATGCAGGCCAAGACTATAAAATTAATTAATACAATAATATTACTGTCTCAATCAATTAAATTACTGTTGTAAACAGTAAGTTAGCAGCCAAAGACAGTAATATTAACTAAAATAATTTTTTTTAAACAAAATTTCAAAATAACAAAACGTGAATTAACAGTTAAATTACTGTCTCCGACAGTTAAATAAATGGTGGAAACAATAATTTAGCAGTCAAGACAGTAATATTAATTAAAATATTTTATTAAAGAAAAAAAAAGCCAGTTAACAGTTAAATTACTCTCTCCGACAGTTAAATAACTGCTGGAGATAGTAATTTAGCAGCCAAGACAGTAATATGAATTAAAATATTTTTTAAGGAAAAAAAATGTCAATTAACAGTTAAATTATTGTCTCCGACAGTTAAATAACTGCTGGAGACAGTAATTTAGCAGTCAAGACAGTAATATTAATTAAAATATTTTTTTAATAAAAAAAAATATTAAAAAAAAAAATTAACGCCGGAGACCCGCCGGTTGACCTACTAAAAAAAAAAAGTCAACGCCTGAGACCGCCGGTCAACGACGGCTTAGAGGTGGTCTCCAGTGGTGGCGGGTCAAAATTGACATTTGAGTCAAAATAGGTTAATTGGTGAAATTGGGGTGTAATCATAAAATTGGAGTTGAATTGAGTTTCAATGAATTGAAGGTAATATTGGTATATATAAAAGGGTTTTCCTTATTTGCAAATAAGTTTGAATGAGTTGGAAATATTTGAAACACAAAAATGTTGGCTGTCCCTTTTTTAATTAAGTGCCTCTATCATTGGCCTATTTGTCATTTGCCCTAAAAAAATGTTTTTTGTGCATAAGTCCCTGACAAACCATCTTTATTATTTTAGTTTAGGAGCTATATCTTGTTCGACAATAAGTCCATCTCTTTAATATGTATTATAATTATAAATAAAGGAAAAATTAATGTATATGACAAAATTTCCCCCAACCCTTTACGTTCAGTTCTTAATTGTAACCCCAATAGAATCAATGAGCATAAAAATCTAATTTTGATTTTTTTTGAACTTTTTTTTTACTGAAATTATTTTCTTGTTGTCGGTCTCCGGCGTTGACTTTTCGGTTTTTTTTTTTTTGGTCTGTTTTTCCGCCTCCAGACTCCGGCGTTGATTTTTTCAATTTTTTTTCTGGTCTGTTTTTCCCACCGCCGGTTTCCGGCGTTGACTTTATTTAGTGATTTTTTTTCCTCCTAAAATTTTTATCCGTTTTTTCACACCCGTCGCTAAACTTTGACCGTAATTGTATTGTCATTAACAGTAAGTATATTATCACTGCCAGTACACTAACGTAATTATATTGTCATTGAGAGTACATTAACGTAATTGTACTGTCGTTGACAGTACATTTATGTAATTGTACTATCGTTGACAGACAATTAGAGTCAACGACAATATTATTATTTTTTTGGGTATTTTTTATTTGTTGACAAGTCAACGAAATTATATTACGGTCGTTTACAGTAAAGTAACTGTAAACACAATAATATTACTTTCAATCACATAAATTTTTTTTTTTTGTTTTTGTTTGAGTTGTTGACGGAGTAATGTAATAATATTACTGTAAACACAATAACATTACTGTGGTTGACGGCAATATTACTGTTGTTACAATAATATTATTGTTGTTACAGTAATATTACTGTTGTTACAGTAATATTACTGTCAACCACATCAATATTAATTCTTACTATGTTTTTCTTTGTTGAACGGTCAACATATTAATATTATTCTATTACAAAATAATAATGACTTTTTGTTCTGTTAATATTACTGTGCCAGAGATTAATATAACAATATTATTGTGTTAAACCGTAGTATAGTTAATATTACTCTGTTTAACAGTAATATAGTTAATATTAC